AATTTAACATTATATATATAATTTTTAAAAATTTATTTTATACATAAAAGTGTGTTGTAATTTCTAAATATTACTCGTACGTTTTCACAATTTTAAACTTTTAACATATTTTTTCAAGATTTTTGAAACTTAATTTCGAATGGTCTAATAAAGGTTATAGTCCATAGGTATTAATAACTTTCATAAAATTCAGTTCAAATCAAATCAATACTAATGCTAACAAAAAGAATAAATTAATTCAACACTAACGGGTCGATTGGTACAAAAATGAATAACGCATGGATTAGTGATGTAGGGATTAGTAATGCATGGATTAGTAGTGCAGAAATTACTAATGCAAATTTTATTTTTATCAAGTGTTTGGTTCATTATTTCCAATCCCAACTTATATTTGAAATCAAATTCTTTAAAGATCTCTTTTCCGATTATACCCTTAAATTATTATGTAATTGAGTCAATGTAGATAATTATCGAAAAATATTTTTTTTATGACATTCTAACTAGCTATGAGAAGAATAATTTTGTTGTCATGTTTCCAGTTTTCTACTTGAATTATTTTATGTACATTTACACATAAAAAATTGCAAGTTATAATTCTAATAAGTATGTAATTTTTTAAAATTGTTCAAAATAGGAATAATTAGTGATATATTTGTCTTTTAATTAGTAAATGTTACATAACTCACATTTTAAATTTATATTGATTTGAATTAGATATATTTAATTACAAACAAGTCTCTCTAAATAATTTGTAAACTAATTTATTTAAATAATTTTACTAGTACAAATATAAAACAAAAAATCAAGAAATTTAAATAAAACTAAAAAGATTTGAAGGATCTTTTTGTCTCTATGTGCTTATCCCATGGTATTATATTCTATGTATTATTAGTACTTCCAAATGGAAGGTATAAGTAATACATCGCATAATACCATGTAGGATATATTAACTAATCCATAAATTAGTTATACATAGGCTTATATTCCTATTAAACAAAGTATTAATTTATACCACATGATATATGAATTATTTTCTTTTAATACAGTCTACCAAACGCCCCCTAAAAATGATAATAATGTTGAATATTTGTTCTTTAGGTTTACATTTATTTACACATTTAAACTACAAACCAAATTTTAATTTTCATTTAACTAATACTATAAGACTTATTTTAGTATGATTTAATACATTAAAATTATTATTTTCATTATGATTTATCAATTTGCAATATTAATTTCTATCGTTTCATTATTATCTTTAAATGAATATTTTAGTGTTATCACTCATCTTATATTTTGTGTTATTTTTTAAAAACACCTTAGATAGTAATATTTGATTGAACTAATGAAATATTTTGAGCAAACGTTAGTCATATTTTTGTATGAGTACTTTACTGAAAATAGTCGATCTAATTTGATCTTTGAAAAACCCGAATCAATCTAGAAAATTAAAAAAAGCCACCTTTTATAAATCAGGTTTAGATTATTAATTTGAAATTTTGATACAAATAATTTAATTTAATATTCAAAAACCCTAAACCAACCCAATACTTCCCCCAAAATAGCAAATCATATAAATTAGGACATAAGTAATAAAGAAGTTATTTAAACCAAAAAAAAATAAACAAGAAAGAAGATCAAACAATTCTCATATTTTTTGTTGTTTTCTTAAGAATACCTTAGACAGTTGTGTTTTGAATAAGCTAAATAAATATTTGAAGCAAACATTAATTATGTGTTTGTATGAATACTTTTCCGAAAAAAATTTAAAACTCCGACAAAAAGTTAAAGATTATTCATTTGATTGATTTCAAACCTATCTAATTTGATATTTAAAAAATTCAAACCTACATAAAAAGCCAAAAAGTCAAGTTTTATAAATTTGATTTAATTTATTAATTTAAAATTTTGATAAAAATTATTTAATTTAATATTTAAAAAACATAAACCAACTCTGACTTTGTACATCCATAAAAACAACAAATCATATAGAAGATATTTAGACGGAAAAAAGAACACAAGAAAGAAGATAAAACAGATCCCATTCCGAAAACTTGGGCTTAAAAAAGCAGGGACACGTGATGAACCAAAAAAATCTTCAGCTTCAACTCTAGGCAACTGCCACGTGTAATAATATCCTAAAATCTGTTACTAACATTTTATACGCAATCTTATTCATAATTTCACAAAGTACTCGCCTATTCAATCATACTAGTTTCTTAATGATACATAAATTATCAAACAAATAAATGTTTATAATTTATTTTAGATCATAAATTTTACGTAAAACACGCTTCACACAGCTTAGGATGGAAATGAGCATATATATATATATATCTGCTCATTTTTTGTGATGTTTCGTTCAAGACAAAGCATAAAAATATGCATGCCTTAACACTCTAAATCCGCAACTAATTTAATTACGTTAGTTAAGTAAAGTCATTAACTTGGTTTGCACACTAAAATGGAAACTAAAAAGATGAGGTCAGACAAATTGCGTATAATTTCTTTTATGAAGGTGTATTTGAACCATATTTTAAAATATCTGTTATTTTCATTTTCCCACCAACATAAATAATAAATATAATGAAATAGAACATTGTATAGGTGAACGCACGTACATCTAGATTATATACTTACTACTCAAAGCTAAAAAGAAAGTGGTCGATTGGTGTGATGAATAAGGAAAAAATTATTTGACATAAATTATTAGAAGCCTTCAATTCTTTGTTAGGTTGTAGAGTGTGTGATAACTTATCTCAGGATTAATAATTATGACTGGGATATATAGACGGATAAATTCTTTTAGATGAGATGCACGTGCACTCGTTAATTTTTTAAAAAAATTGCGTATATCTCATCGTTTGTCTTCAAACCATATCAACCAACGTAGAAATTAAGTCTTAGGCCTAAATCACACTCTAAAAGGTAGCTCAAAGGGAGAAGATTGACCAAGCCCAATGCTTAGCATCTAATGCATGGACAATTTTGATTTTGGTACCCTCAACATCGGATGAGACGGGCCCTACTCTGATATCATGTACAGATTAGGTCTTACTCCTAATTCACAATCCAAAAGCTAGCTCAAAGAGAGGAGGATTGCTTAAGTCTTATAAAGAATCAACCCATCTCATTAATCAGCGATGTGAGACTTTTTTGATTATTTAACAACCAACCAACCCTAAGTACTATCAACTTTGCTATAGATGATGACTTCACGCGTCAAAATTTAAAAAGCTATATTTTGATGTAAAGCGTCGGCACATTTCTGAAACTGGATTGGTTTATAAGAAGGAAGAACCAATAAAACTTCCAAACAAGTAGTACTTTATAATGACAGAGACCCAATATAATTCTGTTCTACAAGAGATTCTCTGAAAAAAATAATCCCTTCAATCACTATGTGCTGCACCATATGAGCTGTTATTTGTACGTCTGAATGTGGTCTACACAATGATTCAAACTCCTTTTGTTCAACTATATCATTCAATATCCATAATTCACTTAGTTTTTTTTTATAAATTTTAAATTCGAATCTGAATTCACACATGCATGTAACACAAATTCACTTGGAACTAAAATGTTCATTACCAAGAAACTACAAGCTCCAACTTAAGATATACTTGGTGAAGAATAAAGAATCCTACTGGTAAAAACTACAGAAATACCCATATTACTACTAATAAAGTTACGTTGTTTAATAGAAGTTCAAAAGAATCAGCTTCATAATGTAACCATCAACCTCATAAAAACAAAAGAAAAAAGAAAACGTTACCATCAACGCTAGCTATACTCTATAACAAAACATAGTTGTCAGGTTAACAGCGCAATGTTCAAAAAAAAAATTCTTGTATTACTACTTATTTTACACTCGTTAGATAGGTTCCAAGTGTCTCAATGAAAATTAAATGATGAATTGCTTGATGTTTCATCCTCTTATCAATTAATTTTATCTCATATGGATGGTCAGTAAATGATTTTCTCTAAGGAACCAACAACAATACGGAACTGTATATATAATAAGCTAAATAATACCGGTAATATTATCATTTTAAGATATGATCGGTGTATAAATTAAATTCATTTGAATATGAACAATGATAAACTATATATCCTTAAACAAAGAAAAGAACAAGCCGAAGTTATAAGCAAAGTAATTTATTTACTTCAAGAGATAAGCTTTAATTTATTATTTGCAATAGTTTTCTTGTACTGAGGGATTTCATGTATAGTTAAAATGATTTTTTATCAGTCAAACAGTTAGAAAACACAATGTTAAAAAATCAAATGCTTTAACATAGTATTAAAAAATTATAATAGCAAAGCTCAAGGTACAACTTTATTTCTTAACGAAGTCCCTAAAAATTCATCATAACTCCGATTCAAGACGGATTATTGATGTTACCTATCACACAGACTCAACTGTGTAATTAAGATGATAGTTCAACTGATAAAAAGAAACAATTAAATCATGTAAGAGCTCTGCCTCCTCTTCATCTATTCTTTACCATATATATTTGATTCAACTAGCTAGCTATAAGTGTTAAAAGTAAAGTTAATGCAACTTTTTAGCTCTAACATATATTTATATTTGGTTTCAAATTAACAAAACAACAACTTAATATAAATTTTTGGACTAAGATATATCAAGAAAAGTTTCACTTGATATACGTTTTTGGGTTATCGGATTGTAAAGATAGCAAATTATGAAATGCTTAACTATGAAAATATCTCAAGTTAAGTTCAAAGCTACAAAACTCAAACTACTTCGATATAGGATAGAACAAAGGAGTGATAGTATATGTTTTCAACACAATCGACCCTACATATTCTATCTAGATATGATAATTATATCATGGAATAACATCTCCATCTTCTTTGAAACTCGATTAATTCTATAATGTTCATCTTCTTCGTAGATCGAATTGGTTCACTTGTTATCTATATGATTAAAACATTGGACCAATCTAAGAAGACGAAGGATAATTTACACGAATAGAAACATAATCAAGCAAAATCAAGTCATTAGGTTTCAGAATTTTCACGATCTCAACAAACTCTTTTTACAATTTATAAGTAGAGATTACACAAGAAGTGCTCGCAAATCCCCCCTTTTGCGCAAGATTTTATGCACAAAAGAAGCACAATCACCAATAATAATTATTTAGCATTATATAATAAGGTATTTAGGTAATTTAATTACCTGATAGTTGCTTCTTCATTAACGACCCAATCTAAGAGCAGCTTTAGCATCAAGTCTCCATGCAAATCCTCCAAATTCCATCTTCCATACATCACATGGCATTGTCTGTGAGTTTTTGGTGTACAGTATCCTCACAGTGCATGCAAAAGCTGATGAGTTAGGCAACAATATTTTCTCCTTCACTACCAGCCACGTCACCAGCTCCGGCGAATTTCCGGAACCTTCTAGAGGATCAACCATTCTCCGGTACGCCAGATTCACCCACCGAACTCTATCTAAACCGTCTGATATCAACCCTGGACACGTGTCAGCCTCCAGATTCTTCATCTTCTCTGTATCCGTACTACCTAACGCTTCTCCGTCTACCAACGCGTTTGTTATCTGGTCTACCATCACCCATGACTCCACCACTCTTTTCTTCTGCATCTCAACCGTCCGATCTATCTGATCTGATCCTACGGGAAAAATCTCACTGTTCTCCGATTTCTGAAAATTCATCCAGAAAGGTCGAGATCCAGAATTTTCTAGACTATTTCGGACGCCGCTACTGCTTTGCGGCATCAGCTGTAGAGTTATACCAGCTCCGTTATCCTCATACAATGAAGATCCGTCTTTATTTGCTTCGTCTTCTTTGTTAGACTTGCACTTGCTACTTTTCTTAACTCTAACGTACTTTCTCTTCGCTCTTCTTTTGGTAACAAGTTCCATGTTGTTATTTTCCGGTGTAGATCCATCCGATGAACCTCCGGCGACAGGTTTCGGTGCGATCGGACGGAATCTTAGCATTATCCGGTTCATTATCGTGGTATCGTTTTTTCCACCGGCGTACTTAGCTGCTGGAAAACCATTTCCACCGTCCATCAAAGCTGAGGAGGTTTCTCCAGGAGGTTATTTTAGACTGATAAAATGAAATTTGACCGGTTGCCGAGCAGATTATCATAGTTACAGCACAGTGCTAGGGGCGAAGGAAGGGCACGTGTCTAGGGCAAATGTAGAATAGTGAAGAGATATGATTGGTGCAGAGTGATTAGGTGGGTCCAGTGATAAAGTAGCGTATCCAGGGAAATTGGGTGTCCTGATTGGTGTGAAGGGATAATCCAATAAGAAGGTGGACACGTATATTGCACTGAGACAAAAAAGGTGCCACGTTATGTACCTTCTAAGTTGTGAGGACCAAAGTGGTGAATTACTTTTTGGTGGGAGGTTTCAATTACTGGACGCGTGTCAACTGCTAGAATTGTTACCTCTCACGCTCCTTGCTCGCTCCGTGAGAATCATTATATTCTCTTACATTTTAATTTGATTTAAAAAAAAAAATTAAATATTTTTCTCATAGACCACCTAGCCTTAATAAAATAATTCTAAATTACAAATTTTAAAAGTTTTATTTCCTTTCAAATGTCACCACCATATCAAAGAGTGCCACATTTTTATTTTAAGTTTTTCGCGAATTTTAAAAATATTTTAAATTATTAGTTATTATAATTTATAATATTTTTTTAATAATTTATAAATATGTATGTTTCATTTTAAAAAAATTAAAGATTTTATATAAATAATTAAATTTAAATTATTTGAATATAAAAAAAAATATCATATAAATTAAGACAGAAAAAATAATTGATCTCTAGTGAGCGAAGAGAACGCGCTATTATGAGAATTGTTATAGTTAATAAGGCTATGGCATTCGGACGCGTGGGGATTATTAGGGGTGACTCCGGGGCCCAGGTAAAATTTTGGACCTGTTATTTCAGTCTTGGATGGTGAAAGGAAAATAGATGAATAAAATTAAATATTATAAATCGATAAGATTAAAAAAAAATTATGGTATAAGAAGGGAAGAAATTTTTGCTAACACATGTTATATAAAACCAAAAAGAAACCCTAATTTCTATGTACACACTATACATGGGTGATCAATGAATTCTACATTGATCGTGTTGAAATTTAAATTATACAGAAAAAAAATATAATCTCTACGCAAGAGTGATATATAAGTGTTTTGAATACTACATCAACCATGCTTTCGAATTACAAAATGTTATAAGCAAAAGTAGTGATATGAAAACACTATTGAGACAATCAAGTAGATTTTGATAAGATTCTCTCGTCATATTAAATGTTAGGAGTAAAGGTTTATTTTCTTTGTTTTTCATTTAGAAGGATTTTCATTGGTTGCTTGTATATATATGAAAACATATTGAGACAATTACGTAGATTTTCTTTAGATTCTATTTCCTAACTATTATTCCTTTCGTCTAATTATATGATGATTAAGTAATTTGAATAAATTGATCAATTTTATTATTTTGATTAGCCTCTTAAAATTTGCTTAGATTTTCTAATTTTGTTTAAACTTTAATTATAAGGATAAAATGAAAAAATAATAATTAATTTTTTCCGATTCAGTAAATATTCAAGTAATTTATAGTAATATGTTCATCTAAATTGGGACAGAGTAGTAAAAAATTTTAATATTCTAAAAGTTGTTCAAATATTACTGATATTGTGTGATTGCTTACTAATGAAACTCATCTTCCGAGGGATTTCATAAAGAAGAAAAGATTTATATTACAAAAATATTATCCTAATTAATGGTGAATTTTAAAAAAAAAAATTCTATTCCTATATGTTGTATATAATTTTATTTATATATATAATGTATTTTTCAATAATAAATATTCATAAATTGACTTTATATGACTACACCACTGATTTAATCTCTTCATGAGATTATTCTTTAAACCTAACTATGTAGTCATCATGGGCAAGTTGGAATTTGGAAACGAAAAATATTAAGGCTCAAAAGTCTGGTAATATGCAACTAAAGGAATCTTCAAAGCTAAAGTATGTACTAATGATTATAATTTTTATTTGATTAAAGCTACTTTCTATTGTTCTTTTTTCCAATTTATTGTTCTTATTCATTGTGAGTTGTGACATACATTTTTAATAATCAAATCAACTGGAAATTAAGCAATTCTCTAAGTTTGGAAATTCAAAATTTGAATGAGAAATTAGTGTAGATATACTGAATATAATATGCAAGGGGAATAATTTGGATTTGATGATATTGATACTGCTTAATTTTTCAAAATGTTGTATTTGTTTAAAAGTGAATTTTAAAATTCACAGTTGATATATAATCGGTATAGTTTAAAAGTTTTATAATTAAATATCAATAAAGTAAAGAGAAAGGTTTGAAACATGAAATAATCTAGCCACAGATTGTCGACAGTTAATAGGAATAGAAAATAGCGAGGGTATTATAAGATAGAAAAATAATTTATGAAATAAAAAACGTTTGGGCTAATTATTGACCCGTTAATTTATTGACTCAACTTATCAAAATTTATATTGATGTATAATCCAAAATATTAATAAATATCTTGTTAAAATATTTTAAAATTTTTATTTTATTTGATAAGTTATATATAGTTATAACAACTCTTCTCCTTTAGTAATAAAGTAGGTACACATTATACCTATTCCATTTTATAGGATTATATTAAAAATGTTGTTGTCAAACTATGATAGTATTGTGTTTTATATAGTGATAATGATAATCTTTTCAAATATCACTTTTTATATATAAAATAAAATGTGTTTAACGATAAAAGGTGAGAATTAAATTCTAAAATTTAAAACTTAAAAATTAACATTCATTTGTGAAATGAGAAGAATACTTCAATTTCAATTCATTACTTTTATATTCATTTGAAATATCAATTTTTTGTAATATAGAATTTCAAATTTTAAATTGTTGATTTCAATTTTTTATATATAAATTGTGATTTGAAATCAATGTCCAAATGAACCAATAGTAACTCTTTTACACGTAATATCCTATATAACATATTGAAAGCTACAAAAAACTTTAAGAATAATTTAATATATTTTACGCATTTTTAATTTGAAATATAAAATAAAAAGGAAAATTAATTTTTTTCCTAATTTATATCAAAGGCGTGTAGTGAGCAAAAATGGGGTCAAGAGAGAATAAATAAACAGTACTTTTGTAATGTGTTGTGTGGTTTTTGAATGGATAAGAATATGACAATATTTTCAAACATTTTTGGATAAAATATCGACAATCTTATCTGGTTAGGTTTGCACAGTAAAGGTCCCCTCACGGATATAAAAATTTAAATTTATAAGTTTATTATTAATTGATATTTTGAAATGTTATAAATGCAATAGGTGGATAAGTTTATGTTATATGTCTTAAATTGATTATAAATATATATATATTTGTATAATTGTAATATTATTATAAATAATTAATTGATGATTTGGTAAGAATTAAGATAATAATGATAAAAATAATTTATGTGGATATGAGTGTGCATGCGCCATCAAGCAAAATATCTTAGAAATTTATTTTTATATTACGTTACATGTCGCAATAACTTGAATACCTTATTTTCTTAATGACATGTATTTTAGCTATATTTATAACTCTAGAAAGAAACTCAAAGAGTACATTCCATTCTTTTCCATTTCAAAATATTCGTCATTTTAAAAAAAAGTTAAATATATAAATTTTAATTAATATCATAAGAAATATTTATTTATTATATTGATATGATAAAATTATCATATTTTTTGTAACATTTGTAAATTATGATACATAAAATTAATATAGTTTAATTATAAATTATAATATTTAAAAAAAGTAAAACATGATAACTATTCAAAATGAAAAGTAATAAATTAAAATGATAAAGTATGTACTAACCTGTTTGAGAGCGCTTTTGTCTCTCAATGCGAATTCAAATTTAATCGTATTTAAATTTGAGATGCTGCTCAGCTAGGGTCGTTCTAGCGTCCATGCACCTACATAAACAGAAATATCCTAAATAATATTATCTTCACTTCAATTTATATAAATAAGAATAATCAGAAATTTTAGAGAAAAAAAATAAATACGAAAAAAACGATATTTTATTTAGATAATACTCTCATAATTGTAATTTCTTTATCTAATTATTTCAAAGAAATGTCTCTTCAGACAACTCACTATTTCTAATTTTTAATATGAGATTATAAAATTTTGAAAATGTTTTACGTATTTTTATACTATAAAATTATTTTCTGTACTACCTAAAAAATTAGAAAAATCAAACAAATAAATTGATGAAATAAGCGGTGTAATAATTAAAAAAATCATTTCGTTTAAGTTATAAATTATGAACTAATAAACTAACCTTTTTATTGATCATTAAAAGGGTGTAATAACAATAAAAAATTTACTCTTACAAAAAAAATGGAAATAATATCCTTATGACTCAATTTGTTATTTTACTTTTGATTTGAAATTAAAATTTTAAAGATAAACAATTTTTTTTAAAAAAAATGAACTAAAACTATTCAGAATACACTAAAAGATTGATTATATTAAAATTTTTAAAAATAATACATTCTTTATTAAACAAACTTAAAAAAGAAAAATAATTCAACAAATTAATTCTGAGAGAGAAGTGAAGAAAGCTTTAAATTATTGCAGACAGCTAAACTTATAGCCGGATGCGCTGTTTTCCGTCAACTCTCTCCTCTTTAACACGGTAGGTAGGTAGAGCTTAATGATTCATCTGAATACGATACTTATTTTTTTTGGTACGACACATAAATATATATAAATAAAAGATTAACTTTATAATTTTAAATTCTGAATTCATATCGAAAAAATGTACTGAGTATCCATAACATAAAATTGAAAACAGGGCATAGTTTTTACCTGAACTTTATGATTGGATAGGGTAATATATGCCAGTAGCAGACCACCGGCGTAGTAGATCGTAGCATCGTCGATCGATCATGAGATTTGTACAATTCCATTCGTAATTCTATAGTAGAGTAATAAAGTTTTCATTAGCTCTGGTTTTTTGTGATGTCTCTGTTTTTCTTTAGACATAATGTTGTTTGTCTAGGCAGAGGAAGTTAAAAGGGGTAGTTTTGAAATAAAATATAATATTATTTATTAAGGGTATAAATAATTTAAAATTATTTATTTTACTATTCATATTATGATAATAAGAAAAATTAATTTTTTTAGTTATATAAAATGAAATAACTTATTCTATAAAATATCTTAACGTTTGAAATATCTATATTTATCTCGTCTCAGATCTCCCTACAATAAAAGAAAAGTTTGAAGATAGTGTTATTTTGTCATTTGTCTATTTGGTATAAAATGTATTTTTTATTCTAATTTTAGGGGTTGCAGAAAGAAAAAAAGAGAGTGATTGCAAATAGTTAATTGACATCTTACCGTATGTTGTTTATGATTATAGTATGAAAATGCAATTGAATCATAATCAAACTAATTTAAAGAATTGATATGAAAATGCAATTGAATCATGTTATTTAATTTGATTTTTTTTTAAAAAATATAGTGATAATTCAAATTAAATCAAGATTTTATTAGCAAGCTTGGGGTTATTTTTTTTATTGTAAAAATTTGATGTTTTGATCTTGTTGTATAATCATTTTAGTATTACTTAACTGAATTGCTTTATTTGTGTATAACAACTCTAATATTACTTAATTGAATTTAGAAAATAATAGCTTTTTTCATATTGTTCATGTATAATGCGCCTGTAACTATCGATATATTTATGCTCTAAAGTCTAAACAAAACTTATACTTCCAAGCCAAAAACAAGAAATAAAAACGTACCAACCTTACGAGAACCAAATCAATTATTATTTTTTATTTTTTTATTTGATTTGATTATGATTTTAATCCATAACTGTGTCAAACGAACCATGAACAACCCTACTTAACAATAAGATGAAATTTATTAGTCAACCAAATGAATTTATTATGTTTCTCAACATCTATTGTTAGTTAGCATAAACAACTTTTTAAAAAAAATAAAAATTCAAATTACTAATCGTTTGGGATAGTCTATTGGAAAAAACAATTCATTTATTAATTTTGATTCTTTGTGTATTACTAGTACCTTGTTTGGTACACTTTTTCAGCTTATGTATAACTAATATTTGCATTTCTATTACATTAAGACTGTATTGACGTATGACTCGTTTGTTAGAGTTAATTAGGATTCTTAGGGTAGAGTGTATTAGCAAAAATAATGCATGTATTTGCCCTGTATTAATAGTACCTTGTTTGATATACTTTTATTGTGTTTCAAATAGCATATTACTAACACTATAAATTTCTAGATATTAGCATGAGTATTTAGTATATACATTAACATGATTAAAAATTCAATTACCCCTTAAATTCCTTCTATTTCTAATAGAAGAAATCAAACGATACATACGAAATACTCTATGTATAGCTAATACAAACATAACCAAATTATATGAATCTCTATGCATTTACTACATGCATTAGCATAACTAAAAATATAATTATTCCTCAAATATTAGTACACATTATTAATATATTATATTTTATATTATTTTTAATACATTCTATCAAATGATCCCGGTAAAAAAAACGAATCTTTTTTGTTATCCTTTTGTAGTATCTTTATATCTTTAGAAAAAGGTGATCATTTATAGGAGGATCTTTTCTCCTAACAACACAACGTGTCCCCTTGATACGCACGTGAAAATCCATTACCGTGAAGACTTCAAATTCAATGTAACAAAATTGAATTAAAAGGAAAACAGACTGATATATCAATTTTATTATTTAGAGTTAGATATTCGATAAAAAAGTGATGTTTATATATATTTTTATTATATAAATGATGTATTTATAGTTTTATTGTCATAAAGAGAGTTCACATCTATCGTCTATATAAGAAGATACATTTGATCTTTTAAAAAAAATTCAAAAGATATTTTAATCATCATGGATAAATTATTTTTGAATTTTTTTGATCATTATTATTTGAATTCCTAATATTTCTTCTTTCATTTCTTAGTGTAAAAAAGTTTAAAAAAATTTTCGGCTATTTTATAATTAAAATTTTGTATTTGTAAAAGAATTTGATGCATGTATAATAAAATTTACAAATATATTAGCGAAATATAAATAAATTTAATCATCATAATAATAAATTTTAAATTAATCATTAACACAAAAAAGTAAAAAGTAATGTTTGAGGAGGATCAAAATGTACCCATATAAATTATATATTTTTTCTTTAAAAAGCAATTAAATTGCAAGTCACTTGTGTAATAATACTAATATATATATATATATATATATATATATATATATATATATATCTTTTCTAACGAGAACTATCAATTCTGATTAACAAAATTATGGTGTATATCAGACTCTTTTCCTTATAATTAATTCTTCAAAATTAAATTTAAAATAAA